TATTTATGTAGGTAATTATAAAAATTTTTTTACAAGTGTTCTATTTTCGATAAATTGGACTTTATAATCATAAAAATGAAGCGATCATTTCGTTTTGATGATGAAAGGGACATAGAACTGTTACAGCAAATGGCTGAAGCTAGCGATGTAGAAGAAGACGCGGACTATGTTTTTTCTGACTCAGAAGATGATGATGAATTGGAAGACCCTGCACATTTAGTCCCAAGCACTAGTAGAGAAGGGTTGATTGAAGAGCTACATCGATGTAGAAGGGCTACAGTTACTAGCTCAGAAAATGAATCATCTGAAGATAAGCAAGAGTTGATCCCCCTATCACGCAAAATGATACATGGACTGAGACTGGAAATGAAAGGGAAAGGTTCCTATTTAATGAAAATGTGGGGGTACACCACGATCTTATGTCAGCACCCTTAGAATTTTATGAGTATTTTATTGATGAAGAATTTGCAGAAATTATTGCAACAGAAACTAATAAGTATGCACAAAATAACATTCGGAAAAAAACTGACCAAGGACAAATGAAAAGAAGGGCTAGAGACAGAGACTGGATTCCTACTAACGCTTCTGAAATAAAATTGTTGTTAGGAATTTAATTTCTTCAGGGTATTATCCAAAAGCCCAAAAGCAGTATGTTTTTTTCAAGGAAGAAACTTATAGAAACACCCATATTTTATCAAATGATGACAGAAAAACGATTTTTTTTTGTTACTTAAATTTCTCCATTTTAGCGACAATGAAGCATTTGATCCTTCAACAAATATTCACCCCAGATTATATAAAATAAAGCCAGTAATGGATTATTTGATAAAAAAATTTTCAACAGCTTGTGATCTTGAACAGGATGTCTCTGTATATGAAAGCCTGCTTCTTTGGAAGGGTCGATTGAGTTGGAAAATATATATCCCCAAGAAAAGAGCTCGGTTTGGTATGGAGTCATACAGGCTTTGCGAGGCAAATTCGGGCTATGTCTATAAAATACTTATGTATACCGGAAATGATACTGACCTGCTCTCAGAAATTCACGGACGTGATATATCACGTTTGACGAAACCCACAAAAATTGTGTTGTCTTTGGCCAATGATTTACTAGGAAAAGGTCACAGGATCGTTACTGACAATTATTATTCCTCACCAGAGTTATTTGACATTTTGTGTGATTTCAACACCGATGCCCTAGGAACTGTACGCATAAATAGAAAAAATCTTCCAGTACAAGTTACAAAAAAGAAGCTCAACAAAGGTGAAACTGTTGCTGCATATAGAAAAAAACTTCTGTGTCTTAAATGGAGCGATAAGAAAGATATAACCATGCTAAGTACAACCCATGACGCTAATATGATACAGGTACAAAATAAAAGAGGGCAATTATTGCAAAAACCAGAGGTCATAGTAGACTACAATAAAGGAATGGGGGGAGTCGATCTATCAGATCAATATTTAGTGACATATAGCATGGCAAGAAAAAGGTTAAAAAAATACTATCAAAAAATATTCAGGCATTTAGTAGATGTAGCAATGTTCAATGCCTTTGTTCTATACAAAAAACGAGGTGGGGAATTGTCACATTTGAATTTTAGACTCGATGTTATAAATAGAGTTTTTGAAAAATATGGTTCATCGACAGTCATTTCCACCAGCAGAAGGTTAAATCCTGACACGCCCGCTCGACTTACTGGACGACATTTTCCATAATTCACTCCTCCTAGTGGAACAAGACAACATGGTTCTAGAAGATGTGTAGTGTGTAACTCCCACAAAATTAGAAAGGAAACAAATGTGATGTGTCCTTCTTGTGAAGCTCCACTTTGTGCTGTCCCGTGCTTTGGCAAATACCATACATTATTAAATTATTAGACATTAAATTTATAAACTATGTACATTTCGCGAGTGTGTTCCTGTTCAAAAACATTTTAAATTTCCATGTCCATCAGGATTCGTCTACATTTATTGCGATTTATATTTTAGGTGAATCTTTTCAACATTTATTCAATGTACAAATTAATTAGCGATTTTAAATTCTGTTAGGAACGCCACTAGTTCTAATTTTTTTTACTATTAAATTAGTAAATCCTTTGTCACATTTTAACAAATGTAACAATTATATTAAGAAATATATTTTATTCTTTTTATTACCCTACACGAAAACATATTAAACGCCTATGAACAATGAAAATTTATATAGCTAAATATTGAAGAAACTTGCATAATGTTGTCGTATGTACCTTTCCCAATGATCAATTACAAGAATTTAACCGATATACAGAAAAAAATTTCTCCCCACCGCACGATACATTTCTGTAAATATTTCTGCCCACTTAAGAGGTTAACAACACAACAAAATCAAACCGTAATCTAAATATGATATAACTATAACATGATCTTACAAAAAATTTTGTGTCTTCTTTTTCTCTATTAATTTTTCATTATATATCTTTTCGGATAAAATCACTAGATTTCACTAGATTAAAAAAAATTCTATGTACTAACATAACAAATGCATGCATGTAAGTGAAAGTGTGAGAATTATATGTATAAGTAAAACACAATGTACATTAAAAAAAGTTTATGTCAATAAAAACAGTATAACAGGTAAAAATATTGAAAGATTATCAAACTATTCTAAGATACATCGCACGTTCCTAAGAAAAGTGTAATAAATCACATTTTTTTCTATTTTCACTTTTCTACAGGAATGGATAGTACATCAAATGCTCTATCTCTGAAGAAACCAGTAATAATTTTAGTTAAATAGTTATTGCATAGATGGTGAAAGAATCACTATTCTTCGGAACAGGTTCATTGGCATATTCCGATGAAAACAGTAATAAAATGCAGTTATCCTGGTATGCACTGCGACACTCCGCTGTATTGCCGATCAAAAGTGTAATAAGTGTAGTTATTACTTTCTCTTTAAGAACTGTTGTAAACTTTAGTTTCGTGTTTTCCGGGTAAAAGTGTAACATTTCGTGTTGCTACTCTTATTATCGGAATATTTGCCAACATTTATATTTGTAGTTATTGCTGTTTAATTTGGAAGAGTTTACACTTTTATTTCGCGTTTTCCGAGGAAGACCGTAATATTTTGAGTTGTTATTCTGATCATCGGAATATCTTTCAATTTTATCACTTGACTTCCGCCGAAAAGTGTGGTATTTTTAGGTAATACTATTTTCTCCGGTAAGTTCTGAAAAATCTATTTATTTTATGTATTATAATAATGTAATAATAGTATAGTTCTATTTGAAAAGCACAAATCGTGCTTCTTCAATCAGTATATTTAAGTAGCCACAATTTACAGGAATTAATACCTGCGACATCAATGGGGAATTCCCCATTTAAACATGTAAAGTCCTTACGTAAAACGATAGTACACTCACAGTCGGTACTAATCAATAAAATTTATGGGATTTCCGCATTTACTTAATAATTTAATTAGAATGCATTTTATTTGACATAAAAGGCTGGCCGGGGAAATCCCAGGTTATAAACTGAAGTTGAAATTTAATCTAACCGTTAAAGGTCTATTCTCATTAGACGTGCCAGGCCCGTGCTCGTCACCTGACCGGCACATGCCATGCTTTTGGTAAATATTCACACTATTCGCGCTCGTAGCATGCTTTCAGCGGTATTTTGCACAGGCAGTCGGTTAGACGTGTCGGTGGGTAGTTGTGCAGTTGTAATGTTTTCCGCGGCAACTTTAGTAAAAATTGCATTTTTTACTTTGGATGCCGAAGAAGAAGAGAATATGAGAGATAAAGTTAAAAAATGAGGTTTTGGATACATCCAATGATTAAGGCAAGAAACATAGAAGGAGAATACTATACCTTGTATAAAGAACTCATGGATAATGAGTCAAAATTTTATATATATTATAGAATGTCAATTGCCGAATTTCAGCAGAATTACCAGCAGAATGCGATTTTGAACAAATTGACAAAAAATTTTGGTTGTCGTAGAATTTTCCCAAGGACATTAGGAGCCCTAGATGAAAAGCACATCGAAATTATAACACCAGTCAATAGTGGTTCCAGCTACTTTAACTACAAAAAGATTTTATCTGTAGTTCTACTTGCTTTAGTAGATATGTAGTACGACTTGCTCTAGGAAATCACGATAAACCATTTTTGTCCTTAAAAAACTCACACCCTCCATTTTCCGAACTCAGGTCGCCCGTAAATTATTTTTTCTTTTATTTATGTCATATCATCTTTCTTTTCCAACGAGTTTCATCCTACTATTATTTTTTTTTGTTTGAAATATTATCGGCAGTGGTCTATTACCTAGATAAAATATAGTGTTTTATGTACCTATTTTAATATTTTCTCCAATAGTCCACCATACCTGAGACTTATGTGCTGCATCCGCATACAGTCGATTCATAAAATCGTATAATTTACTTCTCATACGAACTAATTATATTAAAAATTCATCAGTATCATGTGAAAATAATTTTTTTCGCACCGTTTTGCCTGTCGGAACTCGTCTGAAGTATTCACACTATGTAGGACTGTGCAAGGAATGTGCCAGGCATGGGCTAGGAAAATATTGTTTAAAAAGATTGTCCGATGCCGGGCACGGACCGTTCCCACTCTAAGCACTTGTAGTGAGAACGGACCGTCGCTAAACCCATTTAAATAACGTTAAAGTAATTTTGCACGTCTCGAGCAGGGCACAAGCCGAGCACATGCCTGGCACTATAGTGAGAATAGGCCTTAAAGGTTCTTGTATGCAAAATTTTTTATGAATAAGATATTATTAACTACAGATAGATAAAAGAATGCTGATTAAAAATTAAGATTTGTAAAGTAACAGCCAAAATTGTGATTTGTGCAAAAACAGATCCCGGTCAGCTCGATGAATGCTTACAGTTAATTTTGGAATTTTATAAATATGCAAGCAAGCAGTTTTTATCTATAATACATCAGATAATTTGTACTTTTCTTTGCTAGTCAACAGTGTATTTTGTTTTTACAGATTAAATGGGTTCAAGAACAAGTCGTATAATGCAGGCTGTCCTATGCAGCGATCGAAATAAGCAAATCAAAGAAGTAGAAAATAGTTGCTTAGAAGAAATTAATTTGAAGAAGAAACCAGAAGAGTACTTATTATCGTCCCGTTATAAAAAGAATACAGGTCCTAATGCAGCAAATCCTAATAATAGTGATTCAGACATGAGGAACGATCTTGTGGGAAGTGAATTCCTATGCAGCGATCAAAATAATGGAATTAACGAAATAGAAAATAATTGCAGGGAAGAAATTTCGTTTCAGGAGAAACAAGTAGATTCATCATCATCGTTTTCTCACTCAAGCAAAAAGGATATAGATCCTGTGTCAAATGCTACTAATAGTGATTCTGACGAGACAAAATATTTAGTGAAAAGCGAACATGTGAAAGAAAATGAAGAAGGCTGTTTACCATTTGAAAATCTTCAAAACGTCATTGATTTCGATGTTGTTGAACAAAATATAGAATTGTTCCATACAAATACCCAACAAAATATAACTAGCCATACCAAAGATTTAAACTCACGATGTTTCGACCTGGAAGATTGTAATAGTGATGATAGTATTAAAGATCCAAATTATGATTCTGATTCATCTTCATCAAGCAGTTCGTCATCTTCAACGAATAGCTCTTCATTAAATAGTTCTTCATCTTCATCGAGCTCATCATCTTCCACTAGATCAGCACGTTCACCACGGTGTACAGACTCTGTAGCTAATTCAACTTCAAAACATCGATTAAACTTAGTCGAAGTATCTTCTACTTTAGTAACTGAGTCAGAATCTAACATAGGACAGTCGAAAGACGCAGAAGAAAAAAAGGCAAGAAAAAGGATTCCTAAAGAAACAGAGTGGATAAAATTAAAAACTAAGATGTTGCGGAATATGGGTAAAGAGTCTATGCCATGTTCAAAATCCAAAAAGGTTATACCATCGCGAAACGTACAGGCTGCATGTACTGATAAATGCAGATGAGAGAGTGCATATTTTTAATGAGTTTTATAGTTTGGGTGATATTAACAAAAAAAGAGAATTTATAAATCGAAATATGGAAACTATACAACCAAACTCCAGGTACCAAAATCCTAACAAGAGGCGACTGAATAATGCATTTGATTTCCAAGTGAATCAAAAGAAAATCCGAGTATGTAAACTATTTTTTAAAAAAACTTTAAATATAAATGACAGAACAATTGATACAGTAATAAAAAAGCGCACTTCAGCCGGATCAGTAAGTGAAGACAGAAGAGGAAAGCATGGTAAACATCGTAAAGTAGATTCCAGTATAAAAAAATGACATCCGAGAACATATTCAGTCAATTCCGAAAATTGAAAGCCACTACCCACTACTTAAGGGCACAGACTACTAGAGATTTTATCGAAGGCGGTAAAAGTGTTGCAGATTTACATAGAGATTACGTTAACCAATGTAAGGAAGCCAATAAACCTTTTGGAAACTACCATATGTATTCTGACATTTTCAACATATAATGATCCTTCTTTGTCCCGAAAAAGGATCAATGCAACCTTTGCTTTTTATTCAATAACGCCAGCGAAGCTGAAAAAATTAATCTCTAGCGTGAATATCAAAAACATCAAGAAGAAAAAATATTGTCTAGAGCTGAAAAGGAAAGCGACAAAAAAAAGTGTAGCGAGAACTTTTTAGTCGCATGTTTTGATATGCAAGCGGTGTTCCAGCTGCCAAAAGGTGACACATAAATCTTCTATTATAGATCAAAACTAAATACAATGAACTTAACTATCACTGAATTGGTAGCGGATAATACATGGTGCTTTGTATGATTGTATGGCATAAAGGCCAAGGCGGCAAAGGAGTGACCGAAGTGGCTTCATGTCTTTTAATGTATCTAGAGCATTAGTCCAAAACCATAAATTCTCCAAATTTGGAAATAGTCTTGTATAGCGACAATTGTGCAGCACAACAAAAAAATAGGTAAGAATCAGACATTTAATTCAACGGAATTCTCTCAATGTTCTTCTTCTTCTTTATTTCAGATTTTTGATAGCAACACTCATTTATGCAGTACAGAAATTTCAGATTAGAGAAATTACACATAAGTTCCTTATAGTTGGCCACACCCAAAATGCGGGAGACTCCACACATTCCGTTATTGAAAAACAGGTATGAAATGGATAATATCCATAGACGCATCAGTTATCAACTGAAAAATGTCATTTTTAGGTTACACGTTCTCTAAAATCAGGACCAATTTATGTACCAGACCAGTTTATTCAAATAATAAGAAATACAAAGAAAAAAGGGGAACCATACCGAGTCAAAGAGTTAATGTATGAAGATTTCATCAACATCAAACAGTTGATGAATGACCTAGGACCAAATTTTAATATCGATGCAGAAGAACAGATACCTATTAATGATCGTACAGTTGTTAGAGTGAAAAAGAATGAACCATTTAAGTATTTTTATAAAACTTCTTTCTCTCAGAAACATTTCAAGGCAGTCGATATTCTAAAAAGACCGCGTGCTAATCCTAAGCGCATTCAAAATTCACCTATTCGAACACAGTTGCCGACATTAAAAAAAGCTTACAATTCGAAACGACAATTGACTGAGAAAAAAAGAGACGACCTACAGTTTTTGGTGAAAAAGGGTATATTCCTAAGTATTACCAAGTATTCTATGATTCATTATGTTGAAATATCCATGAAAAATTTAGGAGATAATTTCAGTTTATACAGTGTTCATGTTCTGTTCAAAAACTATTTTCTAATAAAAATCATGATTCCAATATGTTGTATCTTTAAATTCTTTTATATAGATTTTAACTATTTTTCGAAGAAAACTAACATATCAATTTAAAAAAAAAAATTACTCATTATCTCAGAAACCGTTTTGTTTCATAAAAAGATTTAGGTAGATTATGAAATAATAATTTATTTACTCTTTTTTAATGCTATTTGACAATATATAAATTCACTTCCGGGTTCATTTATTCGCATTTTAAAAATGACAAAAACTGTTTTTGCTCTCCTGAAAAATTTTGTTATTTTGACTTATTACACTTTTCTTAGGAATGTGCGACATATACTATGTTAATATAATAATGTATTAGCTATATATAATCCATTCTTAATTATATTATGTTGTTTCATAATATATAGTGTTACATTTTTTTTATTAAAACTGACTGAATTGCTCAAAGCCAATTTCACACTTGGTAAGATTTTTCTCCAGTGTATACTCTCAAATGTTTTTTCAGATTACTTGCTATACTTAATTGCTTAAAACAAATTTAACACTTGTAAGATTTTTCTCCAGTGTGCACTCTCAAATGTATTTTCAAGGAACTTGCCTCAGAAAACTGTTTAAAACAAATTTCACACTTGTAAGATTTTTCTCCAGTGTGCACTCTTAAATGTTTTTTCAAATAACTGGCTTGACTAAGTTGTTTAAAACAAACTTCACATGTGTAAAGTTTTTCTCCAGTGTGCACTCTTAAATGTGCTTTCAAAGTACAGGCATGACTAAATTGCTTAAAACAAATTTCACACTTGTAAGATTTTTCTCCAGTGTGCGCTCTCAAATGTGTTTTCAAATGACTGGCTTGACTAAATTGTTTAAAACAAATTTCACACTTGTAAGATTTTTCTCCAGTGTGCACTCTTAAATGTGTTTTCAAATGACTGGCTTGACTAAATTGTTTAAAACAAATTTCACATGTGTAGGATTTTTTTCAGTGTGCACTCTCAAATGTTTTTTCAAGCAACCTGCCTCAGAAAACTGCTTAAAACAAATTTCACACTTGTAAGATTTTTCAAGTCTCTGTTCTTCACAAACAATATAACTTAACAACACAACAAAATCAAACCGTAATCTAAATATGATATAACTATAACATGGTCTTACAAAAAATTTTGTGTCTTCTTCTTTTTCTCTATTAATTTTTCATTATATATCTTTTCAGATAAAATCACTAGATTTCACTAGATTAAAAAAAATTCCTTACTTAATTGCTTAAAACAAATTTAACACTTGTAAGATTTTTCTCCAGTGTGCACTCTTAAATGTGATTTCAAATAACTGGCTTGACTAAATTGTTTAAAACAAATTTCACACTTGTAAGTTTTTTCTCCAGTGTGCACTCTCAAATGTGTTTTCCAATGACTGGCTTGACTAAATTGTTTAAAACAAATTTCACACTTGTAAGATTTTTCTCCAGTGTGCACTCTTATGTTTTTTCAAATTACTGGCTTGACTAAATTGTTTAAAACAAATTTCACACTTGTAAGGTTTTACTCCAGTGTGCACTCTCAAATGTATTTTCAAGGAACTTGCCTCAGAAAACTGTTTAAAACAAATTTCACACTTGTAAGGTTTTTCCCCAGTGTGCACTCTCAAATGTGTTTTCAAACGACCGGCTTGACTAAAGTGTTTAAAACAAATTTTACACTTGTAAGATTTTTCTCCAGTGTGCACTCTTAAATGATTTTTCAAATAACTGGCTTCACTAAATTGTTTAAAACAAATTTCACACTTGTAAGATTTTTCTCCAGTTTGCACTCTCAAATGTCTTTTCAAGGAACTTGCCCCAGAAAACTGTTTAAAACAAATTTCACACTTGTAAGATTTTTCTCCAGTGTGCACTCTCAAATGTCTTTTCAAGGAACTTGCCTCAGAAAACTGTTTAAAACAAATTTCACACTTGTAAGATTTTTCCCCAGTGTGCACTCTCAAATGTGTTTTCAAATGACTGGCTTGACTAAAGTGTTTAAAACAAATTTTACACTTGTAAGATTTTTCTCCAGTGTGCACTCTCAAATGTGTTTTCAAATGACCGGCTTCACTAAAGTGTTTAAAACAAATTTCACACTTGTAAGATTTTTCTCCAGTGTGCACTCTCAAATGTTTTTTCAAGGAACTTGCCCCAGAAAACTGTTTAAAACAAATTTCACACTTGTAAGATTTTTCTCCAGTGTGCACTCTCAAATGTGTTTTCAAATAACTGGCTTGACTAAAGTGTTTAAAACAAATTTCACACTTGTAAGATTTTTCTCCAGTGTGCACTCTTAAATGTTTTTTCAAATAACTGGCTTGACTAAATTGTTTAAAACAAATTTGACACTTGTAAGATTTTTCTCCAGTGTGCACTCTTAAATGTTTTTTCAAATAACTGGCTTGACTAAATTGTTTAAAACAAATTTCACACTTGTAAGTTTTTTCTCCAGTGTGCACTCTCAAATGTGTTTTCAAATGACTGGCTTGACTAAAGTGTTTAAAACAAATTTCACACTTGTAAGATTTTTCTCCAGTGTGCACTCTCAAATGTGTTTTCAAATTACTGGCTTGACTAAAGTGTTTAAAACAAATTTCACACTTGTAAGATTTTTCTCCAGTGTGCACTCTTAAATGTTTTTTCAAATAACTGGCTTGACTAAATTGTTTAAAACAAATTTCACACTTGTAAGATTTTTCTCCAGTGTGCACTCTTAAATGTGTTTTCAAATTACTGGCTTTACTAAACTGTTTAAAACAAATTTCACATTTATAAGATTGTTCTCCAGTGTGCACTCTGAAATGTGTTTTCAAACTACTTGCTAGACTATATTGTTTAAAACAAACTTCACACTTGTAAGGTTTTTGTTGAGTCGCAACTTCCATATTTTTATTTAATGTGTTTCCTTCAGAGTGTTGACTAGTGTAATTTTCTGCGTAAGATGAATCATCAGTTAGTGTCTCCATAATTTCCAGTTTGTGTTCGTCTAGGTCTAGGAAATAACCTAAAATACAAATCAACTATAATATAAATATCTTATCTTAATATAAATATTTTATCAAGTTCATTGCTCTCACTATAAAAAATTGTCCCATAATGCACCAATTCAAAGTTTTAAAAAATAAATTGTTTTTAGGTCATCTTGATTTAAATGTTGTGATATTACTCTTACAGTATTCGCTGTGAGCCGATGAGTAGAGGGGATTTGACAGTTTTCACCAACACTGTTAGTGGCAATTTTGTGCATTGAACTTGTAAATGTAAACATTCAAATAATGGTGAATATGGATTTTTCAAAAAAAAAAAAAGATATGATACATGTAAAAATACTGGGTATAACAGTGATTGTAAATTTTATTCATTTCCTGTTGCCAAACATAAAATAGTTCAAAGAGAAAAATGGATTATTGCCATCAATAAGAAAAATAAGTAAATAACCTATAATACAAACAACATGATTCTATGGTGTACAATAAAAAGCTATTATATTCCGAAACATTGGGTACATGTCCTGCATCAACTAAATCTTTCCCCTTTTTTGAATGAAATGGGATATCATGTGATATAGACTTAAAACCAGTATAATGTTTAATATCCATTTTTATAAAATTAAAACAAATTGATATCTAAGCAATAAAACACTGAAAACTTTGTTTTCAAACTTCCACAAAATTTATTTTAAATATTATCACTACAGCTGTTTCGGCTGATTGTCTTTCTCAAGTGGCGAGAAACTTGAGAAAGGCAATCAGCCGAAACAGCTGTAGTGATAATATTTAAAATAAATTTTGTGGAAGTTTGAAAACAAAGTTTTCAGTGTTTTATTGTTACATAAAATGAATTTCCATCAAGTAACGGTCGAATCCATCAATGATATCTAAGCATTAAGGCCTATGGACACAAAAAATAACTAAGCAAAAACAGAATGAAAATGCAAAATGAAAACAAGAATTACAATGTTACAGAGGTAAAAAGGTAACCTTTAACCATTAAATATTTTCACATAAACTTCTTCTTTTTCTCAATGGCCTCTTGCGTAAGTAGTCATCCAATCGCAGGAACTTATATGTTAAATATTATAGTTATAATGAATAAAATAAAAAGGCGTAATTACTTTTACTATTAATTCTGTGTATTCGTTCAGTAAGTAATCAGTTTACAATAATATTTCAGTTCATAATTTTGTATTTTTAGATAAATATCTATTTTATTGTTTTGTCATATTTCACTTACACCAATTTTACAAGAAAAGTACAAGTTTCAAAATGCAAGAGAGCGCTACCGGCAAAACTCACAGCGAATAGCATAGTGAATTCAACATTTTATTAAGTTGCTGTATGTGACTTTCCCATGTTAATGTTGCATCCATTGTCATGTCTAAAAATGTAATTTTAGTGCCAATTTTATTGTTTGTATCTGGTTGTTTTAAACACTAAACAATTCATCTTTTGTTTATTTATAATTAATCCTTCACTGGAGAACCACTTTAACATTATCCTATAAATATGACTACAATTGTTAGTATTAACACAGTATGGCGTATTGTGTCTGTACCAAATGAAAATTATCTGTCCAATTATGCTGCCCTGAGGAATGCCTAATTTTATAGGTTTAATTTCAGATTTAATATTCATATTATTCTTTGTTACAATTACCCTTTGGAATCTTCCTGATATGAATGATTTGAACCCATTATGAGCTACTCCATTTATACCATATAAACTTACTTAGTTTTTTCAGCAATAGATTATGGCCCACAAGTAGTCATTACATGCACTGGACAGAACTTTGAAAGATATTCATGACAATCAAAATATTTTTGATGGTGCTATTGTCATATTTTTAAACTCAGAAATTACCATGAGATTTCTGTTACTAAACAGACTCAAACAAGACACAACATTTATGAGAACCATTAAAATTTAATTACATAATTAAATGCAAAAAAATGAAATTTAAATATAAGAACAATGTGGGAAGTAAAGTTTTATTGGTGGTCTTTTATTGGATTGTGATTGATAGGTTTTGCATTAAAACTAAAGAAATGTTAAAAGTGGGATAATGCTGTAACTAAAGTGAAAAGGGAGAACTACAGATTTCTTACTTAACAAGATTTGAATGTGGTGTCTGTAAATTGAATATCATGTCTTATTTTAAAGTATATTTAATTTACAAGTAGGAAGGTGCTGTAACTAAAGTTGTCTATAGGTACTTGGCACAGATTGAAGACTTATATTGTTACTAACCTTTTTCAGTTTTTTGGTTTTCTTCAAATGAGTTATTTCCATGTTGTTCTATTTCAGTATCTATGGGGCATTTCTTCAAGTCTAAATATGTGTCATGTGTACAGTTCCTATTGGATTCCTCCTGAATTTCAAATTTAAAGCCATCCAACAGAGCATCATCCAATTCTTCATACTCTATTTCTACTTTACACGTTTCCTCGCTAATTTCTTGCTTTCCTTCCATTTTGTTACACTTGATTTTAGGGCATTTCCATCGGCTCGATGGGCATTTCGCGCACATTTCGCGGGCACTCTAACCTAACACCTTCTTCTTCTTCTTCTTCCTTTATTGGGTAATATCTGGTTGTTGTCTATACTGTGATATCTGTACCTACCTAACACCTAACCAAATATATTTTCCTCAAGGCACTGCGTCACAGTGTTGCCATATTTATTTTAGTAAAATATGTATATGAATGCTACAAATATAAATTTACTTTTAGGAAATAATAATTTGTGTTATGAGAAGCTACAAATTTTAAATAAGCATAAAACTTGCCGTATTTTTTTTGTAAAATGTATATGAAGGTTTAAAATATAAGTTACTTTTACGAAATTATAATTTGTATTATGAGAAGCTACAAGATTTAAATATATTAAATAAATTTTTTATATCATTTTAATCAGTTGTATTGTATATGCATTTGATTATTATCTTTAATTTAACTAAAATCTTTGAATTTTTATATAATTCAATGCATTTCTATTATATACGGTAATTTAATTATTACTATTAATTTTTTATATAATTTTAATCAATTTTATTGTATATGCATTTGATTATTATCTTTAATTTAACTAAAATCTATACTATTAATTTTTTATATATCACTTTAATCAACATTTGTATATTATGTGAGAGTATGAAAAAACTGGAGACTTGACAACTCTGACACCATTTAAGGGAACGTTAAATCACAGTATAGACACAGAATAATAAAGAAACAGAATGCCCACTCTCCACGGAAAATTAAGTACGCGCATCTCCTTCGCGCAGACGTTCCGCCATGTTTTACGAGGATTTTAAAGGGAACCAGTGTTGTTTATGTGGTTGTGCATGGAAAAAAAAACAGGTTTATTTGACTTACGGCAATCATAGACATACTATACAATTATATTAACAGTTTTAAATATAATAACATAAATATAATATAATTAAACATAAATGTAAACAATTGCATAACCTCACAAATCATATGTTTGTGTCCTCCTAAAACATGGCGCACGTGCTGAAAAACTTCAAAGGCGGCATCTGAGAGTGGCCCTTCTGTTTGTTTATTATTCTGTGGTATAGACAACAACTTAAATGTCATATAAATGCTTGGTAGGTTAGAGCCACGGTTCGTAGACTTACTCCGGTTGCCTCTTCCGACTGGGGTGGGGATACTTGAGTTACGTCACAGGAGTACACAAGAATACAAAACCAATTTATTCGCGATTGAAACTGAATGTAGAGGGCGGGGCAGGTCGATTGCAGTGTCATGGCCAATGACGTATAATATATAGACTACGCAGTCCCCTATTCTCGCTATAGAATCGAGTGTCCGAAAGATCTCGACTCAAGGTTGAAGGTATGTTTATCACTACAGCGGCGTGCTCATTTATATGTTAATGACAATAATTATTTTTTAATTAAAATTAAATATTTATGATTTCTTTTTGTTCCCATCTATAAGAGAAATAATTATTTTGATAAAATAGTATGGCATTTTACTAAAATAGTAAGTAAATAACTCTCAATAATTTAAAATAAAATTTTGCTTGTCACACAAAATGGAGAAAATGTTTTCATACGTCCATGATGTTTTCAAACACAAGATCAACTTCGTGACGCTTCGTAAGAAATCATGAACTTCGTGCATCTTCGTATCAAAACAATAAACAATAACAAAGGTATTCATGTTTTGGACACTTTTAAAGCGTTCACCGAGTCTATATATTATACGTCATTGGTCATGGCCATCGAGCAATAAGATAAAAGAGGGAATGTAAAGGTAGTGGGGGTAAACATATTGATAGACAGGAAGTGCCATCTTGAGAGGCCACTTTAGACAAGGATAGACAGTCTCTTTCCTTGTTTAAGAAGTCAAATTTAGTTTGGTTATGTCAAAGAATATAGACCCTTATAGAAGAACAGTTCAAATGGACGATTTGGTTAGGGTTTACACTTTAAAACACATCTGGCAGTCGGCTCAAACTATCTCATAAAAGATGTAATTAGGGGAAAGTGGGAAAGGAGTACGAACGGAGGAGCTATTTATTTAACTTTGCATCTACGATTTAAAAAAATCCCATGATTTTTTTGTTTTTTTTTTACAATAAAATCTTTATTTTCAATATATTAAATTGTTAAATTTTGAATTTTGAAATTTAAAAAGGTATGATATTTACAATATTCAAAGCATTTATTTTTTACATTTTATAACTTTGAATTGAAAATAAGTTTGTTCCAACACAACGAAAAACCGTCACACAAATTTTTATTATACTGTTTTTCTGCCCAAAAATTAACGAAATATTTTTTTAAAATATTTCGTTAATTTTTGGGTTAATTCAACCAAAAATTTGATTTTCTCAGGACTTTTCATTAAACTTTTTAGACATGTTTCCATTATTCTGCAGAAAAAAACAGTGTTGTGTTTTACATTTTATGTTATTTTATATTAAAAACAAAGAAGAAATTATTAAATTTAGAAAATTTGGAAATATTTAATTCCGGTGATTGATGACTTTATTGGTTGAATTAATTTTATAGTTAATAAAAAGAGAGTTCTTCTTATTAACTATAATATTATTTGTAGATTTGTACCTATTTAAATTAAAAATTCGAATCATAATATTTTTTCTAATATGATTCATTTATTAAAAGTTAAAATATTATTATTTTCTTTAAAAAATATTATAAAACGCAAAAATTTAATACTATTCTACGGCCACGCGGCATTATGTGTTCGTAGTTCTCTGGCATTATACATAAAAATATCTGTTGCATTTGTTGCCCCACTCTTTCATATTTTAAAAGCAATAATAGCGTTGACATGACCGCTCCCTTCTCGATCCACCCTCTCATTCTTTTTCATAACGTGCGATCATCTTTTGCAAACTTTCAAACATAACAGTGAAAGATTCTTCTATAAGCGTCTATATTCTTTGGTAGTACCTTCAATTTCAGTTTTTTGCAACAATACTCGAGTATTCCGATTAAGTACTCTCAGCCTTATAAAAATTTCCAAGAAATTAATATCGGATGAAGTTTCAACAAGCGAAATGAAAATCCTAATATTAAAACAGCATTATGACCAGGTACAATATCTGACTGTTATGCAAATTAGTAGGTAATTAGAATTAGAAAGTCAGTATGGGCAAAACCAGCTTATTCAAATTATAGGTACCTACCTTTAGTCTTGTATTGAAGGATTTTAATTTATTACCCTTAGCATACGTAAAGATATAAAAAACGAGTTATATTTATCTCGTACTTTTTTTAAGTAAGGCGCAATATTTAATTACTTAATATTATTATTAATATTAAAAAATAGTATTAAAAGCTTTAATAATATTACCAATATTAAAAACTTTAATATACATTATAATATTAATATGAATGAGTAGAAACGATTACATTTAAATTTGGCAAATTGTAACTCCAGCCGACTATACGAACTTACAAGTACGATTGCGCGAAGCCGTGGAATTTGGATGCCAAATTCTCGGTCTGTAGATCCTTGTTAGTGGGTCAGACTGTAGCATCGAGCAATAAGACAAAAGAGGGAATGTAAAGGTAGAAGGGGTAAACATATTGATAGACAGGAAGTGCCATCTTGAGAGGCCACTTTAGACAAGGATAGACTGTCTCTTTCCTTGTTTAAGAAGTCAAATTTAGTTTGGTTATGTTATTGTTTGTCCCAACTGTCACATGAAATTTTATTTATATTGAAGTTTTTTACCAATTGTGTCACTTTTTAGACTATTATCGTTAATATTTAATTAAAACTTTCTTGTCTGAAAAATATTTTACAGGTATTGTTAACAAGTGTTGGAAAATTTAAATTTAGCGCCTTTGCATTTCCGGATATGCCCGCCATCAGAGGCCACTTTTTTGGTCTCCTTTTCATAACGATTAGATTCCCTCTTTTGTCTTATTCTCTTATTGCTCGATGGGCTGTAGACACTAGTTAAATATGCGCTCTGTCTCTGTGTGTTTGTGCCAACTGCCAAACCAAATGTCAAATCATCAGTAGATAAATAAATTTTATTACAAGTTGGTGGAGAAGACAATATTAAAATATGGGTATTACAGACGATGTACATCTTCCCACTGAAGAAGAATTAACAGTTCAAGAAATCCCTTTATCTGGTCCAGCACTTAAAGCTGGTGCCTTTCATGTAGGAAAAACTTGCGAATGGGAAAATAATGTGAGGTTAAGTATTACCTAATCAATTCAATACCCTATATTTCTGTTTTCTTAGGAGTTCATTCTTTGCCGCGATGAATTAAAAGATCCAAGGAAATGTATAAA